TCGCGTCCCGCCCAGCCCCGCTCGTCGCCTGTGCGCCGCGGGCCGGCCTGCGCCGCGGCGGGGTGCCTGGGAGCGCTCGTGCGGACCTCGGCGAGGTGGCCCTGCTGGGTGGGCTTTGCGCCGTGGAGGCGTGCGGCTCGGCCGTGAGTTAGGGGTGCAGTGAGGTTTGGGGTTAGCCTTGCTTCCGTTGAGAAGACGCCTCTGAACGCTGCTGGAAGGTTGGCTTCGTGGTGGGCGGCCCTTCTGTTCGCGACAGTCCGTCTTTCCGGAGGGTGCTCCCTAGACCCGTGTCGTCGGCTGCATGTTTCCACTTTTCCTGTGTTACTAAGCCGTGCGTTCGGAGTTTGCATCCAGGTTGGCTTTATGTTATAAAGAAGGTAAAAATTATATAAGGAGGCGATGAAGCAACTAGTTTATAAAAATGACCTTTAGTTTTTATTTAGTAACTACTTAGAGTGACCTTTTCTCTATTTTGCGGTGCCAGGAATGGCGTTCAGAGCCTTGCTCGGGGGGAGGCTGCGCTTCAGCGCTGGGCTGTGCACCCAGTGCCTCTCCCCTTCTGGTTTTGTTTGTTTTTTTTTTTTTTTTTTTGGTCTTTCTGAGACTGGGTTTCGCCAAGCATTTCAGGCTGGCCTTGAGCTTACTTTGTTGCCCAGGCTGGCCTGGATCTCTGACTGAGCCTCCTGCCTCAGCCTCCTGAGTGCTAGGTTCATAGGACTGTGCCATCACATCCCACCCGCTTTCTAATTTTAAAGGAATCCTACATTTTAAAATTAAAAAAAAAAAAATCCTGCAACTATTGCGGTGTGTTGCCAGATGATTGCACCGACGGTATTGCTGGAATGCGTATAAGTTTACGCTGGTCCTCTACGTTGTAAAATCGCCTTTACTGGTGTAGGTTACTTACGCTAGTTTACTGTCAGAAGCAACTCTGAAAGTACTATATTGTTGTACGGTTGTCAGAGTGGCTGTGTGGAACATGGATAGTGGCGGCTGCAATGAATAAGTGGGGCCATTCTTAGCAAGCAGTTAATAGAAGAGAGGTCCTAGATAGGAAAAAAGACCGTAGTTTTTTGATAGGGAATCACTGTCGAGCCTGTTAGTAGTTGGTATATATGAAAACTTTTGCATTTACTGCAACAACTTAATATGTTTTCAGTGTTCATAAAGTTGTGCTTATTTTACAAATTGAAAAACTGTTTAAACTGTGGCTTTTATGTTGCCTGGGAAGATTGGTAAGTAGCAGTAGACGCAGACTCACTGTCTCCCAGAAGAGTCTTTTCTAGTTGCATACCTTTTAAAAAGTTTTAAAATTTTTTACTTGGTACGGGGCCTCACTATGCAGCTCAGACTCGTGGTGACCTCCTGTCCCAGCCTCCCCAGCGCTGGGATCAGATGTGCACCACCATGCCTGGTTTCGGCGGCCAGCACAGCGTGGCTGGGGCCCCGGGGCCAGCAGGGCCTGCAGTACTGGGGATCAAAACCAGATCCTTGGGCTTGTCAGGCAGGTGCTTAGACCACCAAGCTGGCTCCCCAGTCCAGATTGCCTACTTTCTTAAAGTTGAATCTGTGGGGCTCTTAATACTGGCTTCAGATACCTTATTTACTTTGTTCTGCTTCTGATTTGTTCGTGCGTGTGTGTGTGTGTGTGTGTGTGTGTGTGTGTGTGTGTGTTACCCAGTGAGGTTAATAGTTTGGTAGATAATCTCTCCAGGGTGAAGACCAATGGAGAGATTTAGGGAAGACCCATTCTTCCTTAGGACAGTATTTCGAGATGAGTACATACATACTATGGAAATAACTGTCAATCAAATAAAGATCAAAATGAGTGAAACTAAAATCTGTGTAGAAACCACCGCCATGAGCTAAAGCAAAATAGGATGCTGTTGTTTCTACATTGTGTCTGATTGATGGTTTGTTACTTATTTTATATTCGGGATCCCAAATTTGCCTCCAAACTGTGTTGCTGGGAAGCAGTTTTAATGGTTTCTCCCTTTGAGTTCAGTTTCACGCAGGGGCTTCTGGGTGTATGTGGCGTGTGGGTTCCGGAGCCAGCCACATCTGGTTCTTCTGGAACTGCATGAAAGTGGGGTTACAGTGTGATGGGGCCACTCCTAGCACAAGTTTTCCTTTGAGTTCTTTTATTGAGGAATTTAATGGAGAATTCTTTGGTTAAGAGAGAGGCCTTAGGAAATGTTTATTCATTAAAAATTGCCATTTAGTTGGAATAGTCTGGAGGGGCAGAGCTTTTTTGGGGTATAGTAGCAGTGCCATTTTCATAATTTGGTTCAGAGCGTTAGCTTCAACACTGGGATTTTTCTTGAATTTGAGCAAAGAAGAAGCAAGGACTTCTCCAGAAAGGATGCGACCTGCAGGCCAGGTTGTTCTCACTGACTGTTCTTAGTCTGCGAAGTAAGAGTAGTTCTCTACTCGTTTCTCTTCCTCTTCTTTACTCTGCAATCCTGGGCACTGAGTGTGTAAGACCTGCTCACAGAGCTACATCCCCAGCCCTTTTTCAGACAGGATCTAATTAAGTCACTAAATTGCCCAGGCTGGGCTTGAAGTTTCAGTTCTGCCTCAGCTTCCCAGGGTGCTGGGATTGTAGGTGTGCACCATCATGCCAGGTGGAATGTTATTTTGAGAAGTGAAAATTTCATATATGAAATTCAGATCTCAGAATCCATAAAGTTTGGTTGAAACAGAGCCAGATCTGTTCATCCGTGTTCCAAGTGCTTCAGGGCTGTAGTAACAGTCAAGTAGTTGTATAGCCCACAACCCTACAATATTCACTATCTGGCCCTTTTATAGGACTCCTCCATCCCCTGAAAAGTTCCCAGCAGCTTCTTTATTTGGTTTAACTTTTTTAAGGGAAGGTTTATTTTTTGTTTTTGGTGCCAAGGACTGAACCCAGGGCTTCCAGCTTGCTAGGTAAGCCTTCTGCTGCTGAGCCAAATTCCCAACCCCAGCTTCTTTAATCAGCAGCATATTTCCAGTTGAAGGTGACAGCATGGCTAGGTTGAGTCACTGGGGGAGTAGAGCCAGGTAGTCAAAGAAATAATCAGATGTCACTTCTCAATGTTAACATATGCAGAACTTAGAAAATGACAGACTTTGGATCTAATCTTTTGGGTGCATTGTACATGTTGTTTAACATTAATACAGTTGGGTGTGGTGGCTCACGCCTGTAATCCCAGCACTGAGGAGGCTGAGGCAGGTGGATCTCCACATAGTGAATTTGAGGTCAGCTTGAACTACATAGCAAGCCCCTGTGAAAAAAAAAAAAAGTTAATGTAACTATTGAGGAGCTGTTGAAACTTGAAAAGGCCCTTGAGACACCACGGACTGACTTCCTCGTAGTGAGCCACTCAAAGCTTCTCAATTGATGGAGTGGAAAATGGTTTTAGAACTCACTGGAACCAAACCGTGACAATTGCTCCAAAAGACAGACCGCAAGTTTTATTTTTTAAATAGTACAGATAACATTCCGTATCTGGAATTATTTAGACGTAACTTAAAATTCCAAGTATATGTACATCTGTGACTTATTTTTTTGTCTACTCAGAACTGTGCTGTGCCACACTCAATAACAGACTTAATAAGACAGAAATGAATCATTTTATTTTCAAATGAAAAATACTCGATGTCACAGCCACAGTCAAATTGTACTGCAGGGCAGATTGAGCTCTTTTACCCCCCATGTACCTCTGGAGGCTGGGCTGAGTGAACCCTGAGTTGAGTTTCAACTGTCAGCCCCCAGCAGCGGCCTCATGGGTGGGTGCTGCCACTGAGCACCTAGGAGATTCTTGGGTTCTCTGTTGGACCCTCATCCAGTGACGTCACGCCTTCAGAGTGTTCCGGGGCATAGACAGTGTGCTGCAGCACGCACCCGTGGTTCACCACCTCTGCCCTAAACAAGTATTTGTTTGTTTCATAGAACACTGGGATTTCTTTGTTCTGATGAGTGTCTAGGGGTCTTAAAGGTGCCCCAAAAACCTGCAGTGAGAAGGCTCTGTTGTTTGGATTCTCTAAAGCACTTAACATTTCAGGATTATAAAATATGAATAGCAGATTATGTACTTGAAATGAAGATGGCCAGTGATTCATCTAGTCAAAGCTGAAACAACATAATCTACATAAATCGCTTCTCTCCATGGATGTAAGAGTGCCTGTTATTGTATATACTGAAGTCTTATGTGAGGAGGTTATTGGGTTGGGCTTATATAACTCATAGAAAACTGGTGAATGGTTTGAATGTTACCCCTGTGAGGTAGTTAGCTGCAAGAATGATGTCACAGTGAAATTTCTGCACAGATTGATTATACAGCAGAATCCTTTAGCTGTCCAGGTCCTTGTTGGTTTTACCATTGCTTCAAGATGCCTTTTCCTAAGAGGGGCTGTCAAAACAGGCTTGCTTCCTCAGTAGGAAACTCCCCCTCTCTGTTGGGCCTCTGTGTAAGTACTAAAGTTAAACAGCTGTGTGCAAAACACTAGTGGAAGATTTTGCAATTTGTGAGTTAGGTCGTGATGAGGACAACTATTTGAAGCCCAGTCTTCATGCAGTTTGTGCAAACGTTTCGTGAAGCTTCAGGTTAGCAGGGGAAGTCCTACCCGTGGCTTTTTTTTTTTGACATGAGTTGATACTCCACTTGTCCATCACTGAGTGGGTCCTCGCAAGACAGTTAGGGTCAAACTGCACACGCCTAAGGGCTCAGCCCACCACACTACCCTCGAGTTAGAGGCCCGCTCCAAGTTCCACAGTCTTGTTCTCCCCAGGTTTGCTAATAAGCTACGATGATTTGCAGAACCCAGGAAAATACTTGTCCTGGTTTATTGTAAAGGATACAGCTCAGGAACAGCTGAATAGAAGACATGCATAGGGTCTGGGAGGGTGGAGGCAGTGCTGAGCGCCCCACCAGCCTGTCTGTGTACCCAGCGGCCCGGAAGCTCCCAGAACTGCAGCTCGGGCTCGTGTGGTGGCCTCATCTCATAGGCGCAGCTCAGCAAGTCATTGCTGTCGGTGGCGCAGCTCAGCAAGTCATTGCTGTCGGTGGCGCAGCTCAGCCTGGCCCTGTTCCATCCTGGGATGGGAGTGGGTGGTGCTCAGGAGTTCCAGCTCCACAAGTGTGGCTCGATCCCCCTCCCCTCTGGGAGTCGGCTCTCCAGCATGGAGAAGATAGGCATCACTTGGGCGATGTCCACGTCGTAGGAGCTCCGCATAAGGAACATAGGACAGAGGTCAAATGTTTATTCTTATAATAGCATGTTATCTAAAATCAGTACCTTGGTTTTTATAACTTTGTAATTCCTTTAGTGTCCGCAGCTCTTTTGTAGTTTGGGAGAAAGGATTATTATGTCTCATATCACATGTTTGACAAAT